TTTATTCAGTCATTCATTCATCTATTTATTTTACTTTTCAAAGAGAAAAACCAACTGAGGGGAGGGATAAGCAGGGAGAAAAATGTGCTACAATGAATGAATGGAAATCCAAAGTCTTTATAAACTTTCATTAAAATTTAATTTAAAATTAACCAATGTCAAAATCCTAAGGCCTAGATATTTGAGCCTATATATAAAAGAAATTACTTCTTAATATGTGGTAGACATTTAAACTATACATCCTCAAGGACTTTGTAATCACAATATAACAATTTCATAAGTGTACTTTTATAATGATCTGGTCCTTTATGATAACTTCTTAATTTAGTTTATCATAAGCATTAAGGGCTTTGGTCATGATTAAGGAAAGTAGCAACCAGATCCAAGAATTTATGCATTATTAATACTTCTTACTGTTTTATTAAAAGATATTCTATTCAAAATGTTATTTCTTTCTTACAGTGCACACACAAACTTGATTACCAAATGGTCAGCTCCGGTTGTGTGGCATAATACTTATAATGAAAAAGTCTTGAAAAATTATTACAAAAATCATAAAATTACTGTGGGGCTGACTGTATTTGCTGTTGGAAGGTAAGCGATGCTGTAAAATATACTTTACATTCAGATTTTTTTTGTTGTTCTAGAAAATGTGAGCATGTTTGCTGGAGTACTTAAAAATGGAATAGTTCTTCTTTTTAGGTAAATTTCTACAATAATTATATCTATCACTGACCACTTGGTTCAACCAGAAAATATAGTAACTCTTCAAATTATTTTCAAGTATCTGACTTTAAAATTTCTCTCAAGACTAATTTTATCTAGTCTGGATTTATTGCAATTCATTTAACATATACTTCGTTTCTTCACAAGTTTGTGCCTCTGAAATAGTCATTCTTCAGTATCCTTAAACTGGATTAGCTCAATCATTTACTCATGCCCATGCTTTCTCAAGTCATTAACTGCTCTCTGACAAACTCACTGTCATTTGGTGTCTTTGTTAATTTTTGTTCAATACTAAATAAAACAAGGCAATTGCAGTTATCTACAGTAGAGTGTTTGCACGTGACATTTTCTGACCATTCATTAATGCTAAAAACAAAAAAAAACCACAAATAAGTCCGTGAAAACATCCAGTAACATTAGAATAAAAGCAAGTTTAAAATGCTCCAAGCAAAAAATATGATGGTGAAAGAGGTTTTAGACAAAAATACAATCAAATCCATACCCATAAAGAAAAAAATCCAACACTAATTGCTAAGATATTGAACACTAGTTGGGATCCAATTTTAAAAAAGGACTTAAAAGTGGGTCCTGATGTGATAACCTTGATGGAACAATGTTGTAGGAGAAAATAAAATAAATAGAGAGGTTAGTGCCTCTCCTATTATCATTTTAATATTAATTTCTAGTTTGACTTCATTATAGTCAGAGAATATACTCTGTATAAAATACTTTTATAATTTTGAAGGTTTGGGGTTTTTTTTTAATTTTTAATTTTTTTTTTACGGAGGTTTTGGATTTCCATTCATTCATTGCCACAATTTTCTCCCTTCCCACCCCTCCCCACCAGAAGGTTTGTTTTATGGCAAAGAAATAGTAATCTCTTGGTAAATGTTCTAGGGACACTTGAAAGAAAATAATGTATTCGGTAGAGTGCTCTGAAAATGTGTATTAGATCTTGTTGATTGAAGATGTTGTTTAGTTCTGCTATGTCCTTAATGTATTTTGCTTAGCATTTAAATAAACTAGGAAGTTTGGTGACCTAGACTGTAGAAAGTTACACCGCCAATTCAAAGGGTACATTTCTTTGATGGTTCTAATCCACCATGAGAGAAAAATGGGCAGTCTTCTCTCCAGTGAAGGTTTACAGTCTTGGAAACCATGGGAGAAAGATAGGCCATCTCCTCCAGTGTGATTTACAGTCTTGGAAACCCAATAGAGGGCCAGGATGAGTCAGAATAAACAGAAGTATCCTGGAAAAGGTGAAGCCAGATTACTCCTTGGAAGCAAGGATGGTAAAGCTTTATCTTGCATACTTGCATTTAGCTAAAAGAGGCTATTCATTGAATAAGGACATAATGCAAAGGACATCCACAAAGGTGGAGGGAGGGTGAAGGAGGAGAGGAAGGCCTTAAACTGGGTGGATTGACATAGTGACTGCAGTAATGAGCTTGAGTGTGTCAGAGATTGTGAGGTTGACACAGGATAGGACAGGGTTCAGATCTGTTGTTCATTATGAGATATGGCACTCGATGGCATCAACCTTAGTCTGTTCAAAATACAGGAATGGCATTTATTTAAGTCAATTGTTAGTGTCCCCAACAATATTGTAGATTTATACATTTCACCCAGGTGTATAAATTTTTAGCTTCTCATATTTTGAAGTTTGTTGTTTAATGCAAACACATTTAAAATTGCTATTTCCTCTTAGTCTGATGCTCTCATGGCTTGGTGGTAAGGAATTACCTTGCTAAAGTACTGAAGAGCAATGGTGTCTCTCTGGAGACTAAGGTGCGTCTGATACAGGCCATGGTCTTCGCAATCACTTGTTATGCATCAGAGAGTTGGACAATGACCAAGGAGGATAGAAGGAGAATTGATGCCTTTGAGCTGTGGTGCTGGAGAAGAGTATTGAGAATACCATGGACTGCTAGGAAAACAAACAGATTTGTCCTGGAAAGGGTTAAACCGGGTGGCTCCTTGGAGGCAAGGATTCTGAGGCTCCGTCTAACATACTTTGGACATGTTGTGAGGAGAGACCGGTCCTTAGAGAGGGACATCATGCTTGGGAGGGTGGAGGGACAGCGCAGGAGAGGAAGGCCCTCTTTGAGGTGGATTGATTCCGTTGCTGGGATAATTGGGATGGGAGTGTCAGAGACAGTGCGATTGGCACAGGACAGAGCGGAGTTTAGGGCTGTTGTACATAGGGTCGCTATGAGTCGCAAGCGACTCGACGGCACATAACAACAACAACATACAAAGGTATGAAGTTCAAATCTACCTGCTAATCTCCAGATGAAAGGGGTAATCTTCTTTGTATGACCCACTAAAGGGTCAGCTACAGGTCCATTCCAATTCAATGGTACACAAATAAAATGTCCTCTTGGTGGAGTGACCTTTTTAGCATTAGTTTTTCCTCAGGAATTTTTTTTCTGTCGAGTGAATTTTATGTGGTATTAATATAGTCATTCTTGCTTTATTTATATTTGCCTATACATTTAAGAAATAGAATTTTTACTCTAGTCTGTACATGTCTGCTCAATTTTTTAATTGGCCTGCATATAATTATTTATATACACCATGTTTCATGCATGTGCTTGTATTTTATACACTCATTCATATATATTTTATATAATTAATTACCATTTATCTATGCCTATTATCACCCATTGGAAGCAGGAGTGGCATTCACTTCCTAAGCAATATACCTCCAGAAATTCTATGAACTTTGATACATGTTGATAGTTACAGAAAGGCTTCAGGTCTTTTGTTCATAGGGTTGCTATGAGTCGTGCTCGACTTAATGGCAATCAACAACAACATTATTACCCCACCTTTTCAAGTCCCTATCGAACATTTCCCATTTCTTCAGCCTCCTTATCTTCTAGAGCCTTCACAAGAAAAAGACTAATAATCCAATCACAAAATGGGAAAATATCTGTTTTTTAATTGGTATAAATAATTTATTGTCAATTATTTCTGAGCTACAGCTTAAACTTGGTATCTTAGTATTTGTTTCATATTTCCGTGCCTCTGTTTTTATCCATGACTTCCTTGAGTTTAATGAATTTTTTTTTATAATTCCATTTTTCTTTTAAAGAGAGTTCTGGTGGTGCAGTCAGTAGTGGTTACACTGCTAACTGAAACTATTCATGTTTCTCATGGTTTGAATCTATCAGAAGCTCCTTGAGAGAGAGAGAGAGATGAGCATTAGCCTCTAATTATAATGTACAGTCTCAGAAATCTCACTGGAGGGTCACTATGAGTCAAACAAATTCTACAACAGTGTGGATTTGGGGTTTTTTTTGTTCATTTAATCTATAGTGCTTCTGAAGGGAGCTCTGGTGACCTAGTAGTAAAGGAGTTATGCTGCCAACCCAAAGGCTTATGTTTAGGATCCACCAATTGCTTCAATAGGAGAAAGATAGGCAATCTCTTCCCGTTTGATCTACTATCTGTGAAAACCCACTGGTCAGCTATGGATTGGTCCCAACTTGATGGTACATCACAATAGTATTTTTTAAGATGTCTTTTCATACAGTTTTTATACTAGATTTTCTGTTGTTGTGTGCCATTGAGTCAGAAGTGACTCATAGCTGACAACCGTAGTGACTCTGAAGATATCTTTTTGTACAGTTTTTAAAGTGGATGCTCTGTTGTTGTTGTGTGTCATCAAGTTAAAACTGACTTACAGATGATCCTCCAGTGTATTATTAGAAGCAGCAAATAGCACAAGAGGAGATTGCCCATCCTTCTCTCAGAGAGTAACTGGTGCATTCAAACAGCGTTGGCAGTGCAATTCCTTACCACAAAGCCATCAGCACTCCACTGGTTGCTCTACGTATTATAATATACATTTATAGCTTGTCAGTGTAATTCCAAGTGAAGTATATAAATACTGCATCTATCTGGATAAATCATTTTCATTTTTATAAAAAGAAGTTTTAAAATTTCTCATATATAGTATATGTACATCATATGTATACAAACAGCAGATGATGCATACTTTTTATTCCATCACTGGTAAATTAACAAACTCATTAAGCAGTTAGTTAATTCAATTTACTCTCATGTTTGTTTATCATCCTATAGTCTAGTCAAACTTCCTCCTAATTTAAAAAAAATTCTTTAATCTTTAATTATCCCTAATTAAGGAGAATAATTGCCTTTAATTACTCCTAATGTCTGAAAGATACTTTGAGGCAGTGAGTTTGGTTTTCAGGTTTGAGTAAAATACATAGATGATTATTCTTTCAACTCTTGAAATTTTTTTTCTAGTCTTCATGATTTTAGATAACAAACCCACTCTCATCTGAATCCTTTTTCCTCTACTGGTTATGTATCATTTTTTCTCTATATGCTTTCATGATTTTTCCCCCCTGTGTATTTAGCTTCTAATGTTTTTAGAAGTTTGGTTATGATGTGTCTTGGCATTTTATTTCTGTGCAGTGTTCCTGTCTGGGATTTATTTCTGAGTTCTCATTTCTATTCCATTGTGCATCTGTCATAGAACTAGTGCCAGATCAGTTTGATAACTGTGGCTGTATAATATGTTTTGAGATGAGGAAACTTAAAGCCTCTATTTTGTTCTTTTTTAGGGTAAAATTACATTGACATTTGCTTTGGCTATTCAAAGTCTCTTTCCTTTCCATATAAAATTGATGATTAGTTTTTCCATTTCATCTGTAAATAATGATAGTTTTATTTCTTCCTTTCAAGTTTGGATACCTTTTCTTTTCCTTTCTTGCCTTATTACTCTGGTTATAACTTCCAGTACAAGATAAGTACTTCACTATGTATAATACCCACAGCCCAAAGGGAAAAGAATTATTAACAACTATTGAACTCTACATTGATATTTTTGTTTGGTTTTAGTGGTATAAACTAGTGATTATGTTACTAATTTTTGTATAATGAGATATTGAGCAAGTGATTACATAGATGGAAGATTGGGAGAGCTATATTACTACCTATTACAAATATGGAAAGGGAGAGAAAAGATTGAGCCACTAAAAGGGCTCAGAAACAATTATTTCCCTCAGTATTCCTTGGAGGGGTTGGTGATGTTTCTTGGACCAAGAAGACATGGAAAAAAACAATATGAGCATGAGATAACTTATTGTGCCAGAAAGGAAAACACATACTAATTTTAAAATGAGATCAACCCATTAAAATGACCAAGGAACTGTTTTGAAGGATTCTTCTCTGACAATATCTGTGATAAGCATAGGTGATAAATGATGAATGAAAAACAGTTCCAAACATTACTGGAAGTTTATTGTTTATTACTAAATTATGTTGTTGTGTGCTATTGACTACGAACGGGATCATAGCTGAGACTCCAACATGCTTTCATAAGTAGTAAATCACTTGGGAGGAAAATTCTCAGTCTTCTCCTCAGGACAAGATGGTGAATTTGAACTGCAGGTCTTTGTGTTGGCAGTGCAGTTTTTTAACACTAGGCCATCAGAGCATTCTAGCATTAAGTTGTATGATGAGGAACAATTTAAAAATATATAATATTTCCCAAGAAAACAATTTTGGAGGCCTGATGGTAAGAGACTATGCTGCAATCATAAAGGCATCCAATTTGAATCCACTAGCTGCTCCACAGGAGAAAGAATGTCAGTCTCCTCCCATGCAATTTACTGCCTCTGAAAACCCACTGGAGAGTCAGGTATAGGTCAGTTCTGATTTGATGGCACACACCAACACAATCACAATAAGAAAACAAACAAAAAAAGATTTAACAATAATGGAAACATTTCTTCATTCTAACCTGCTAACACAATAATATCAACTTTGAGAGAGAGATCAGCTGGCCCAGTGGACAAAAAGCGATGCTACCAAGCCAAAGGTGGGTGACTTTTAATCCGTGGCCCTCGGGCCTGTCTTTCATTGTTTTTGTTCAGACATTCCTCTAGGTTGTATAGTCCTGGTGTACAAGTTGCCATACCATGGTCACTTTTGGTTGCTGTGATGCTGAACACTGTGACACTGATGTATCAAATGCTTTAATGGTTGGCTACCCAATGCAGACAGAGTGGGATGGAGCTCCCCGATTAAAACAAGCTTGGAAGGAGGAGTGGCATCCACTTCCATAATAGCTCGCCTCCGGAAACCCTATGAACCTGGAGAGAGGATGAAAGGCACCCAAGCGTTGAGGACTCTCCTTCATAGGGTTGCTATGAGTCATCTGCGACTCGATGGCACTTAACAACAACAACAACCTGCTAACAAGTGCAAAGACCATGGCCTGTATCAGATGCACCTTAGCCTCCAGAGAGACACCATTGCTCTTCAGTATCCTGGAGAGGTACCTAACAGCAGACTTTCCCATTGCAATACGTCTTTTAGTTTCCTGGCTACTGGTGCCAACAGTGTTGACCGTGGAGCCAAGCAAACTAAAGCTGCGAACAATCTCAATCTCTTC